TCCATGCTTTACCCTGCTGCTGCCTATGGATCTATTAAAACCATCTAAGGTTTGGCTACTCAAAGCACATACAGTAGTACAATGTTTTAATGTACATGTACATGTACATTTAATCAAGACTAGATTACAGGGTATTTAATATACGTGTGTATGTACATGTACAGTACAGAACATGTTCTTGAACTTCCTGTTAGTCAATTGACAAAGTCAATCAAATCAAGCAGTTGATACATGTACATGTATATACATGTACCCAGCAAATAATTTAATTCTACCACGTAAAGTTTGAATTGACCAATCATGCAAATATAAGACGGTACTTCTGATTACTCCTTAAAGCACTGGAAATCGCTGAATTCATGATCAGGGGGCTAGATAACTTTGTTAAGAGGCTTGGTAGTGATGCAAGAGTCCAGGGCTTGACTATTTTATTCTGAGTCCAGCCATGAGGGGGTGCTCAAGCCCCCCTCAACCCCCTTAGAAGGCTTGGATATGTCTCTGGTACATGTACATGTACATGATTTACCACTGTTTAGTACTTTACTGTAAATGCACATGTACACTCTTGCATTTCAATGTATGTAATGTGTCATATGTAAGATGAAATGATGAGTTTAGTGACTAATGAATTGTAACAATCTTCTAAAGAGTTTAAGGTAGAAGTGTTGCACTTCAAGAGAAGATTTAAATTACTGTGTATGCCTGTAACTCCTGAAAATCATCTTAGTTGATGTCCTAAGAATTTAAGGGTCAGCAACACATGCTATAGCTGTAAATGTAATACAGTTTTTTGAATTACATACATGTACATGTAATGTAAAACCCCTATCTTCAATGCTAAGTGCAAGGTTACTTCAATTGCTGGTGTATTATTTCATGTGATCACACCTTTCCCACTGGTTGCTATGGTAAAGCCAGGATTCATTATGTATTATCATAACTTCCTTTGTTAACAAAATCTTTGAATATATTTAAGGATCGCCCACTTTTGAGTCCAGCTGACCTTCTTTAGTCTTTCTCTCCTCCTTCCACTTGCTTTATTTTGTTAAGCTGTTGCATCTGGTCATAAGAATTCTCTCTCCTACTGTACTTCATTTTACATTATCATTCATTCCAAGTTCTTCATTTTCTTTTCATTTGTTCTTGCTCTATCTTCATTTACAATCTTCTACCTTTATCTATCTTCATTTTTCGCTCTTGCTTAGTAATACATACAGTTTTTCTTTTGTTAATTGAAATGGCAACCAAACCATCTTCTGGTCTCAGACTCAAACTTGATGAACAGCTCACCTGTCCTGTGTGTCTTGACCACTATACCAACCCTAAGACTTTACCTTGTCTCCATTCATTCTGTCAGCACTGTCTGGAGGGATTACCTGTGGATAAGAAGAATGAGACCTATTACCTCTCTTGTCCTACTTGTCGTCATCGTACAGAGCTAACAGAAGAAGGAGTAGGAGCCTTTCCTGTAGCATTCCACCTCAACAACCTCAAAGAGATGTACAGTCTA